TACGTTGTTTTTATTCAACAAATAAAAACATGAGCGGACAGAGCATTAGAAAATGTATAGTACTTGATACTAAAAACCCGAGTACCTAATTCCATTATAGTAGCCATCGGTTCTATTAGGTCATCAGCTAAGCTTGGGCCTAAAAAGATAGCTGCATTGTGTAAGTAAATATTTCGTAATCAAAGAGTTCATTTTATTTTCTAATTTTTTTCAACGTGTTTTTTTTTCTTTTTCATGAGAATGAATACTTTTTTATTCGTTATTAAAATACAACCAAAAATATTATAACCTTAAATTGCCGTTCACTATATACAGTCCTGTATAATGAAGTGCCACGTTTTGCATTAATAAGCCTATGAATATAGAATAATTTGTTTAATAATAAACGGTGCTTTTATCTACGAAAGGTTGATTAAATATGACAGGAAAAGAAGATAGGATTGTACAGTAAATTTGTCTCTCGTTTAAGTGGAATCTTTATGTATTAAATTCTAAAATATTATATTACATTATATTATTATTATTTATTTATTATTTTTACTATATATATAGTTAATTTTAAATATATATTTATTATTTATGGATTACAATTAAGTTTTAAGATTACTCATTATTAAATGTATAGTTGTTTGTCAGTAAATTATGCTAAAGATAATAAAAAAAAAAAAAAAACTATAGTTTAATGGTATTTTATTTCGTGGTTATTATTTTTTTTCAGTAAAAGCTATTGGACTCAAAAAATACAAAATATTATTATCCATAATTATTGCAAAAATAATAAAAATAAGATATAAATTTTTTATCATGTCAATAAAATCATTAGAAATGCACAGATAATTCGTTTTCTTTAATTATTTTTTAAGAAATAAAAGTGTTTGATTTTCTTATTTTCTAAATTAACCCTTTTCTGTATGATTCTTTATTAAGATATTAAAAAAACATTTTCGAATAGATTAAAATTCGTTATATATTTAAATCAAATATACATCACAACTAACACACAAATAATTTGGATTTGAAATATTAATTTTTGTAATTAAGTAAAAAATGTTATTTAGATATTTATGTATATTTTGTTCATATTGAAAATTAAATTACAACAAAAAAGAATGATATATTAGAGGTGTAGGCGCAGTATAAAACTTTTAGGTTTAAAATACAAAAATAAAAAAAATCGATTAACATCGTAACATTTGAGTACTGAGACCTTTATTGGTTTAGATATTGTTAAGGACCTTCTAAAACGTCGAAAACCTAAGGTAAATGTTGTAAAATTTTTTCTTAGATAGAATGAAAATAAAGATTACATTGAAAGTTGAAAAGAATAAGAGATTATATAGGGAATTAAATTAATATCGCTGTCAGATAATAATTTTCTTCCTGTAAAAAAGATGCACATCATAATATCAAGTGAAAATTATATGAACACATTTTCCGTACTTTCAAGGGAAAATAAATTTTATTAATATTTTGTATGACGTAGTTAAGTGAAATATTACAATAATTTTTATTATAAGTATTTTAAACTTGGTGTATAGGTGACTGATTATCTTTATGGATATGAACTCAATGTAGAATGTTAAACAAATAATATAATTAAATTATTGTTATACCTTCGTTTGCCCTAAACCAGCATACCACTTATGCGTATAATAAAAACGTAATTAAATCTTGATAAGAATTGTGAAATAATAAATTTGATAAAAGAATGTTCGATTGATAAATGATAAAATATATTTGTAATTATATAAAAAAAAATCAACAAGAATGACTGATGAAAATAATAAAAATAAATTTTCTTAAAATTGTGTTTTATACAATTAATGTATTAACCAGTTATATTCAATTAAAAATATTGATAGAGTAACTTAAGATCACAACATTTTTCAAATATTATAATTAATATTAATATTAATTTAAGAGAAAAATATTTATAATTTTTTTATTATCGTCAATCATAACAGTGCCCATGATTTTAACTAACTACATTATAATAATATTATCAAATAATATATAAATAGTTATCAAATAATTTTAGTCAGAAATTTACTATCCATAAAATGTATTAGCAAAATTAGTTCAATAAATGTGTGCCAGAAGATGCGTAAATAATACTTTAAAATACGTCGAAAAGCTCATATTTTTGAAATTAACGTTGTTAAATATTCGAAGTTGCGAAAAATTCTGATCACACATATTTTGTTCATTATACTATGTAAATATTTTCATTTCTCACGTATAATATACATTATTTATATAGTATATTATCTATAATCTTATAATTATATATAATTTACAATATATATATATATTATAAATGTATTATATATGTACTGATAAATATTTTACATACACGTGAACACAGAAAAAATAATCGATTAATTAGTTTTTTTTAATTAGTAATTTGATTTCATCTTGAAAAATAACACAAACAGGAATATTAGGTTAATAATAAAGTTGTGAGAATTGCGGTTATCACATGCGTGGAAAGGAGAAGATTTAATAACATCGTATTAATTGAAGAACATGCAGGAAAGGTATGTATAGCATTATAGAGCGAATAAGTTTACATTATATAGGATTTGAGAAGTTTGTAATTTTCTTCAAATTTATGACGAGACAGTTCGAAAAAATTGAACGACAAACTCGTAATTCGCCGAACAGTATTCTCGCATTTATTATGCGGTATTATAATAATTGTTAAACTCTTACGCATTTATAAGAATTTTGAATATAATAATAAGATGAACCACTTGCCACCCTTTTGTTGATATATATTGTATATTTTTACACAACACCCGCAGGGTCATGAATCAAATACATTATAAACTAGTGGATATTTTATCATATTATTTTTATTGACGTTTTTTTTATATGCATAATTCATATAGACCTGACAGATAACTTTCGTTGTACGGTCCTGTCATGAAACGAATTCTGAACGCCGCCCCTGTAATACATCGCAATTCGACACAAACGAATAATGTGTTATAATATAAGTTATAATGTATTATACTTGTACTGTAACATATTATAGAGTTATACGATGAAAAGTATAGTAAAATATATAACGCAAACAATTGCTAGGGGGAAAACTACTAATGAAAACCTATTGTTTCAATGTAAATAAAACGCCGTGTACATAAGCGTGCATACAGATTTTTTTTTATTTCATGTAGGTAATCTATTATTAATATTGTCATTGCCTCCAGGTGCACACCAGCACCTATAAATTTAAACGAAGGGACACATATTTTATAGAGGATATGGTGTAGCAGCGATCAAAGCTGCCGTGAATATCATTACAAAATGGAGCCATTAATTTCAAATTATTATTCTATGTAAATTGTTAACTATTATTTTTATTTTATATAAATTGTGTGGTTGATACAAAAATCAAGCTCTTTTATTTTTAATATGTATAACAGATAAATTGGATAAAGAAATTGGTATATATTATAAGTGAGGTGACGGTAAGCGTTTGTACGGTATAAAATTATTTGGGGAAGGAATGGTAAAGTCGAATTGCACTCAGGTCAAAAACAGGTAATGGTCAAACATTATTTTTGATCATTTTTAAAATTAAACAATTTAGTATAATTATAAAATTATAAATACATTCAAAAATATAACGTAATATTATTAATATGACATCTCAATTTACTTACTTTTTATTAAAATTACCGTTTTGTAGATAAATACAAAAAAATAAATATTTTAATGCATCGTGATTCAAACAATTAGTAAATACAAATACAATGTTATTAGTTTTATAATAATGGTTTTAGTGGCATAGAAATTATAGGGCAAAGTTGGGCAGTGGTCCAGAGCCTCCAGAACACAGAAAATCTTGGGATCCTAGGACAATTCTAAGACTGGTAGTTTAAATGTTAATAAATTAAATTTCTAAATTACCATGTATAATTCTAGTTACGATCAGTATTAAAGCAGATTCATAATTCATGCAATGTGCAATATGTTTTTTTATAATATAAAATTGGATTTCCTTTTTACTTTATCTAATTATTAATTATTTATTAATTTATTTTCGTTTATCATTTCATAGTAAGTATTCACATCTGAAAGAACAAAAAAAACGTGTATATTTTAAATTTTCATATAAAGATAATATTAGTTAGAGAACCATGTTTATTTACTGCACCGGAGACCTTTCTATCTACACTACTGAATGGTATACAACCAAAATAATATATCACTATAACATGGTATTATATTACTTTTTTCGACAAGAGAGCAATTCGACCATAACAATTTAGGATAAAAAAGTATTGATAAGAAAAATCTTGATGTGCCGAAGTGAAGTATGAATTTTCGAGATCTGAAGCCTGAATCTGGATTCAGGATTCTAAAATCTAGATTTTACTCTAAACCAGGCGTTCGGATTTTAATATTTTGAATTAAAATTGTTTTATGTGACCCTTATAATCAAGTTACGATAACTACATATTTTTTTTTGACAATATTAATATATTTACCATGTTTAAAATAACATTAGAGAAGTTTAAAAACTAGTCATGATTAGAATTTGATTTAATACAGTCAACAAAACATCAAAAACCAATAGAAAATGTAGGTTCAACGATTTGAACAGATTTTTGTACAAAAAAAAAAAAAAAATATATAGAATTTAAATTTATAAATCCAAAAATTTAATTTCAGATTTAAAAATCGGAAGTCCGCTTTTTTCAGATTTTCAGAGAAGTTGACTTAAAATCCATCGCAATAAAGGTTGCTTCACATTATGCATGTTTCGCGTTTTGTATGTTTTTCGTTTCATGGAATAAATAATTCCTTTGATATCGTCAATTTTACCGCCTCGTTCGTTAATTAAACAAAGTGCAAAAGCTATACACACTATTTACAAAATTTAACGAAAAGGTGAAAATACGAAATGGGAAACATGCATAGTGTGGAGCGACCTTAAAAAGAAGTACGACGATTTCGTTATTGCCGAGTTGAAAGGAAATAAATTGACTTACCTGTCGGCAAACGACAGCGGGCTGTTGACCAATAACCGGGTCGGCGGTGGTAGGCTGGACCGGTCGGGGCTGCGGCGAACATGATACGGAGGCGGTGGTGGTTGGAGTGGCCGGAGTGGCCGCTGGGATGGCAATCGGGTGGCTCCTGTCACGAGCGTACACCGTGACCATCGCGTCGTCTTCGTCGGTGGCGGTCGGTACCACGGCCGACGCAGCGGGCTGTACCGGTTGGACGATAGAGTCCACAGTAAAGTATCTCGTCACCGTCATCGGTAGGCCGAGAGCATCACGACCGCGGAACCGAACGCGTCATGGCCGATCGCGGTACGCCGAAGAGGCCAGGAGGTGTCCGTTACGCGTATGTTATTGTCCTGTGTTGTAAAAACGACGTCGGTAGTAGATGATTGCAAAACGTGCACCGTTCGGTGTACGGGTGCGACGCGGACAACGATTGTCATAAACCGCCGGGTACCAGCATGAAAACGACGTTTTTTACATGCGTCACCCTTAAAAAAAAACATACTTACGCTTTAAATACATACAGGCACGCGCGTTCGTAAAAAAACATACGAAATGTATGCGTTCGTTGTGTGCTCGTAGTCGGAGTGTGGTGATGGTGGTTGTGATGCTCGTCGTGTACGGTGACTGGTCGTGTTTGTTCAAATGCACGTTAATTCGTGCGCCGTGTGCGCGTGCACGCGTCGTTCGACAACAACACCGCATCGTTGTTCCGCCGTTCACGCGTCACCCGAACCGCGTTCGCACGTCTTCCGCCGACGGTGCGGTAACCGACCGGAACCGCTGTCGCAGCTACGCTCGGGCGACCGCGTAAGCGGTAACGCCGGATCGGTAATCATCGTTTAACCATTAAACGGTTGAGGTCCCGCGTCCGGTGCCGATCGGTAACCGGTTCGTCCGCTGAGCTTTTTACTCGGGAGTCACCGGTAAACCGGGTGAATGTATCTTATGGTCGCCGACGCAGTCGTCAATCGGTTTTCGTGCTTTATACTTCGCGTTCGTTTTCCGTGTAACAAAAACACTCCGTACCGTCGTGTTGAGCGACTGACCGGTCGGCAATCACTGCGACCGGAACCATTTGTGTACCCGGACGCGGGGGCATGATAATGTCGTAGCCGATGCAGTGCGCGTGTTTCGGTAACGTACGTGATCGTTTTCGTCGCGCGTACCTACAAGGCCGATCAGACGATTTGCGTTCGTGTTCGGTCGTACGGGTTTTCGTATTAGAACTTCTTTCTTGAGGTCTGGGAGGAAAAATAAATCGTTACAAAAAATGAAACGACACGAAAAAATGAAACGGCAGATATGGTGTATGAATGCGTGTGTAAAAGTGCGACAGAAATCGCTTGAAAGGTTAGTAAATGTCATAATATTATTTATTACATAATATCACATATTATGTGAGATTGTGATAGCGCGTCATTAGCTGAGTGTATTTTCTATATTTTCTATATTTCTACTTACCTCTTTGTGCAGTATTTTGGGACCGTCTGGAGGACGTGTTTTCGACCGTTCGCACCGACGCGTCATCGTCATCACTGTCGCGACGGGTACACTTTGATGTCGCACTGACGGCTCGTCGTCTTAAGATCTGTTTTATTGGAAAAAAACACATAATAGTAAACGCGTCGATCGTTGCGCATCACATTGAATTCGCGAAATCGGGTGTCAACGATACGTGGTATCAACCGACGACTTAATCGAATATTCACCATAACAATACCATACGTTATGGTCATAAGCGTAATTAGGCCTTAACATCAAAGGGGGCTAGAGTTCTATAAAATGTTATAGTAAAATGTAAATAAAATAAAAAAAAAGTGTAATTGTAATGTTTTTTTTTAAAAATCAAATGATTTTAAGACAAAATAATAAATAGGTAATATGTAGACAGCCAATTAGGTACCAGTAATATTATTTTAATACCTAACTATAACACACTTAACATTTGAAGCTGAACACAATTCAGACCATTTAGTAGGTATATACTCGTAGATTTTAATTTTTTTCTGTACAGAAAAGAATGATTTAATGGACAAATTGGATTATTTTGTTTTTATTTTTGAACAATGATCCAGATGTCTTTGCCAATTTTTTGGGTTCATATTTTGCCGATTTTTACCACAAGCACACAATTTATTAGTGTTATACTTATATATTTGGTGTTTGAACACCTAAACAAATTACGTATGTGAAGTTGGCCCACCCTTTTTCACGGATTAACTTGAAACCTATACTAATATTTGCGAGTTCATTTTCAAAATTTGCGAGTAAGCCATTTGCGAATTATAATTAAAAACAGAAGGGTGGGCCAACTTCACGTAGCCCCTCTAAGTCATCCTAGAACTTCATAATTTATACCAAACGATGCGTCTTTATTTGCAAGAATTTGCGAGTTCACTCCTTACCCGTCAATTTCATTTTCCTACCGTGAAGTCAGTACACTTAACACGCCCTAGAATTTCAATGGCCCGTTTTCAAAGGAAACAAAGTAATAACCGATTGTAGATAAGATCTTTTGTCACCACAGCTAGGGTTGCAAAAAAATCAGTTTTTTTTTTTTAAAAAAACTTTTATTCGTAAGTTTTAATATTGTTTAAAAATTTTTTTTTTTTTTATTTAAAACTAAGTATATAAAAATATTTTCCCTAAATGTGATTATTACTCTCAGATTTCTAACCAGAGTACAGTACAGGTGAAAGGTGATTTTATATAGATACTATGATTTTTGAATAATTCTAAAAAATTACCAAAAACCATTGTTTCTACCTGTTATTTTACTTTTTTAATAACATTTATAAAATAAAATAATAATATCCTTTATATATAGAGAATAAATTATCATACTATTTTAAATATGTTTGAACGGTCATTTTCACATTTTCCATTGTTATTATATTATAAATTTACCAACCTAAAAATTATGATATACGACTTTCGAGTATGTAATTTATGACTTATAAGTTGTAGACACGTCTTTCAATTATAATTATGGTCTATAGCAACACAGTAGAACCTTCCAGAGGACTCATGGGTTTTCCAATTAAAGACACTTCATAATACAATGATTTGATATAATTTTAAATTTGTTATCCAAATAAAGAGCTATATTTAAAATAAAATATTCTCCATTAATAAATTGGTGTTATTATATATTTTGTTGATCAATTAAATTGAAAATCCTTAAACCACAAAATATAATGATAATTATAACTTGTATTTATAAATACATATAGATATATATAACTTGTAAAGATATAAGAAATTCTGAATCAATAGTTTTTAATAGTACATTAGCGCACGTTGCAGTGGTATTATTCCAATTAGGAATATTTTCTGTACCTATGATTCAACTACAAATGCTAATAGTTCAATGAAATCTGTTACCGCATCATAATGCTGCACCCATCGTGTAGCACACAATCTTTTTAAAGTTTTAACCTTAGGATCTTCATTACTATTTTCAATGTTGGTTAAAAGAACATTTTGACAATTTGGTGTATTAAAAAAACATATACATTTACGGATAAATATTTATAACCTTGTTTTTTTTTTAGTTTCGTAATAATTTATAAGTTTGTATTTGAGCTATTTGTAGGTTTAAGACAATATATAAATACAGCTCATGGGGGAGGATCTATCCCCCATATCTCCCCCGTAATTACACCCCTTACACACACACACACACCGATACTGTTCTGTCGCGGACAACCACCTGCTCGTTTGGCTTTTGGAATAACCCAATCTAAATATTATATTATTTTCATACTATTCTGAATTTATATTTTGAAAAATAATCTTAATAACACTACAGGTATTTAGTTGTATTATTATGGTTTATGTTTTCAATTTTTTTTGAGTTTGGGTAGGTAGTGCATGTGCACGCGAACCGTCACTGATCCTTTCGTAAAAATGAATTAGCGAATAAAATAATTTTTTAAGATTCCATAATAATAATTTAATTCCATAATCTGAAAATTATAATATTGGAAATAATTTGAATAAAATTAAAAATGTTAAACAATTTTGAAATTCTAGGACCACTTGGAGAGGCTATGTGAAGTTAGCCCAACCTTCTGTTTTTTAAATATAATTCGCAAACGGCTAACTCGCAAATTTTGAAAATGAACTCGCAAATTCTCGCAAGTAACTCGTAAAATATTGGTATAGGTTTCAAGTTAAACCATGAAAAAGGGTGGACCAAATTCACGTACGTAAACAAATTACACAATACAAGTGTCGTAAACAAATTAAAATATATAAAAAATGAGATATGCAATTATGTAAGTACCAAGTGTAGAATGCAGATACGTTCGCTGTGTACTAGTACGACTAGCGTGTGTGCGAATTGTTATTCTGGGATTTTTATACCTTTAGAACTACAGTCCATAGTGCAGCGGTTCCCAACTTTGAGACGCGACACAAATTAGGGTCGCAGAGGTTTTCATGGTGGGTTGCGAAAGCTTTTTTTACATTTACATATTATATTTTATTATATTATAATTTAAATTTCGGAAAAAAAAAAATTCCCGAAATATTCTGATGGTAAATTTATTGAAGAAGAAAATAATTTTAAATACCTATGTAAATGGATTGGCGCGGGCTGTACGCGGTCGTATCCTCATAGCGTGTAGGTAGGTATTATACTACTATAATAGTATAATATGTAATAGGCATATAATTTCTCTTATTGTTCATAATATATTTCCCGGAACGTCACGGTGCGGTTTGGTACGTCCTTATCGTAGTTTTGTGTAAATATAATATAAATGACATACGTACGTATGTGAGTATTAATAATTTAATGATATTGTGTAATTCTAATTTCTATCAGTCTTTCCACTTTCGTCATCATTACTTGTTATTCTTAGCGTTTAACTGTTTACGTATAGTGCGTGTTTTTTCTATTTAATTTAACATTAAAGTGATTTAACTTTTTGAAATGGCTAAGCGCGTGTTACCATTTAAAGATCATCTTTTTTTTGAAGTTTGGTTTTACAGAAATAAAAAATCGATCGGGGTTAGTGCGTTCTGCCTGCAAATTTTGTTAAATGAATCAATGAAAGAAAATAAACTCAAGCGGCATCTCAACACTGTTCATCCTACATTGATAAATAAACCATTAAAATTTTGGAAGGAACATAAAAATAAAACAAAACGTATGCGTCTTGATTGTCCGTCCAATACACTTACAGTTTCATTACAGAAAACTATAAAAGCATCATTTGACATTGCTTGGAAAATTGCACACTCTAAAAAGGCACATAATATTGGAGAGGAACTTATCAAACCAGCTGCTATTTCTATGGTTAGAACGGTCTGCGGAGATGACATTGCTAACAAATTGGAATTAATCCCACTTTTGGATAACACAGTTAAACGAAGAATAGACCTTATGTCTGAAAATATTTTAAAACAGCTAGTACATCAAGTGATTGCAGCTAATAAATTTTCCATAAAAATTGATGAATCTGTTGATATTCAAAATAACGCACAATTGATGGTGTTCATACGTTATCGAAGTACCGACGATTTTCGTGGAGAATTTTTATTTTATGAGCATCTTCTTACAACAGCAACAGGCTTAGATATTTTTAATAAAGTTGATGGATTATTTTGGAAAAATAA